CTACTGACGAAATCAATCAAATTACTACACGGTTACAGCCCAGTCCAGGCCTTGGACTGCCTGAGACCTCGGCTGGGGCATCTTTTACCAAACTGTTCTCACAGCCTGGACCATGATGGTGTCTCATGTTTTGATTCAGCAAAGGAAAAGTGAACCACTTTCACGCCATAATTACGTGGACAGAAAGGATCCTTACTCTAGAAGCGACAAAAAGGAGATAAAGGAAGGTGGAAGACTTGGTCCCTTTTACTTCAGAAAAGCCACAAGGAGGAAAGTGGTAGGCCTTGAACACTGGGTCCTCCTCTCTAAGAGTCTTCTCTAGAGCGAAGGGAATTTCTACTTAGTGGGAACTTCTTCCAGCAGGATAAAAGATGCTCCATAGAAGGAAGGACCCAACCACTGGTTGCCCATGGTTGGAAGCATTTTTATTCAAAGCCAATCCAGTCAAGAGCTTCCCACTGAGAGCAGGACTCACCAGGCATTTAGGGGAAAGGGAATAATGTAAGTCCCTGTTCAGGTTTTCCCAGGGAACTCCAAGGTGTTCACAACAACTCAGTGGGTGGAAAAGGACTGAATTTCAGAAATACATCAATTTCACTTGTAAACAGGGGTTGAGCCATAGGGACAATCGGTGTGTTGGTATATCCGAACTAACTTTTCAATCCACATTTTACAGAGAGGCTGTTTAATTGGTTGCTAAAAATATACCCTTCATACACAAAGTTAATGCGCACAGAAAACTCAAAGTTTTCTCATTGCAATCATAGACAAGCAAATTTTCTATATCTCATGGTCTTTAAAAATATGCTTATTTAACATATATAAAACAAAAAAAAGAAGGAAAATGTCATTGGAAGTATTTTTACTTCTGATGGTCAAATTACACAAAGACATCTATAAGATTTTCATAATTATGCAGTTATTATTACAAGGAGGCATTGTAATGTAGGGAAGAGAGAGAGAGACAGAGAGAGACAGAGACACAGAGAGAGGCTCCATACCTCTGAAAGCCATCTCAACAGGAAAAGGGAGTTAATCAACAAGCCAACATTTCACAAGTATTTTCACAAGCCAAGACCAGTGCTCATCAACACCACGAAGACAAGGTTTTGCAGCACCGAGGCTCATCCTCTGTGTGAAGCTGAACGACAGACACTACCCACATCCAGCTCCAGCCTCAGTGCTTTACAAGTTCTTCCTGTGACAGCCACTGGAAGCAGCAGTGACTGCTCCCATGCTGTTCCACTTTTGGGTTGTTACCTACGCCAATGGTAAACAGCCACATTCTCTCCTCCTTCCCACCGCTTCACTGAGAGACGGGACACAAACATCTCGTGTGACTCAGCAAAGGCTTTTTTCTCAGCCATTTAGCTTCAAGACAGCTCTAAGCAGCAGGAGCATTTTTTGACCTTTAAGCAGTCAAGAATCTATGACAGAGCTGAGGAATAAGATACTCAGAGCAGACGCTGCTGTGAATGACAAGGCCTGTCCTTATGATATACGCATCTTCTTATGAGTTATTGATTGCACCCAATGCTTATAAATCTTGTGTAGAAACTAGGGATGCCTCTGTGTCTAACAAATCAATGTCAGTGTCTGTTTGCCAGTTTCTACACAATGACAAACACTGGTAAACCATCGCATCAACATCCCTGTTAAATATGACAGTCTATTAGAAACGAGGCGTCTCAAGTTCATGTTGTCATTCTTCATTGTACCGCTCATTTTCCTGCCTTCTCGTTATAAAAAATGAATTATAATAAATTATGCTTTTTAGTGACATCTTCAATGTGAATACTTAAAAGCCAAGTGTCAAGTGGATAAAATGTTTGCTCAGCCAACTAGGTGCCTGAATGGTGGTTCTTCAAGAGTGTTCGCAGGTCCAGATTCCAGAAGGCCACGCAGGTGATACCACTGAGTACAGGTTCGGGAGTCAGAGCCTGCCTACTGGCCTGCCTCTGCTAAAAAGTGGAGAGCTGTCACTGAACCCCAGTATCTTATCCAGGGAAATATTTCCAAATTTTAATATGCAAGAAGGGAAAGCCGACTCATGGGTACCTCTTGAACTGCTGACATCCAGCTGTAGACATTGACACTGGCAATGACTAAATCATAAACTATAACAATATGTGACCCCTTGTCTAGGTGGTTCCTGCATAGGCTTCACCTGGGGTTAACTTGGTTACAAGTCCTGAAGCTTGGATTAAGATGCTTATTAGAGACCTGGAAGTGACCAAAAATAATCAAGCAAACAGTAAGATTCTATGAGATGAAGTAGTTTGGAAAGCAATACTAGGTTTGGACTCTGTATTTGAGGTCTCACAGTTTCAAGGATACACAATCAAAGGACTCAAGAAGAGAGATACCTCAAAAGTGCTGCATCCGCTGGAGTTGGCCAATGGTTTGAGACACATCCTTGTAGGCTCAGATATTAAAATCATGCTTAGTGATGCTAGCTTAAAAGGCTCCATACTGATGCTGCCCAAACTAAAGGGCCCGTCGGCTCAGGAAGGGAGCTGTTCATCTGCAGTACTGTGACCCTGTCCTTTAGGACGGACAGCTGCTGTGTTTTCAGAGGGCGTCTTTCCAGCAGCGCAGAGCTGCAGAGGAGGTCAGCCTTTAATCTGCACCTTATGGAAGAACTTCAAATGTGAGGGTATGTTCTCCTCAATGATTCTCTTCTGATGGACGGTCCCACATCTCTTTTGTTTTGTAATTTGCGGGAGGAAACTCATGGCAAAAAGTTACGTTCTGTGTAAATTCTGATGATCAAATCACTTTTTTAGAATCCAGTAAATAAGGAGCAATCATAAGATCTGTTTTTAAAAAGGGACTAGACCCTTTCTGAAGATAAAGGAGGAGTGGTTGAGGAAGGGGGTTGATGGGAAAGGGGACAGGACACGAGGAGAGGAGGGAGGAGAAACTCGTTGGTATGTAAAATAAATTATATATACAGGACTGGGCATGGTGGCACACAACTTTAATCCCATCACTTAGAAGTCATAGGCAGGTAAATCTCTCCAAGTTCAAAGCCAGCTTGGTCTATATACTGAGTCCCTGCCTCAAAGTGGGGGAGTCACTGACATGACAAAATTGTTCATTATGTAAAGTCACTCGATGCTGATGCGGCTTGTAACCTGAACTCTAGATCTGAAACATACACAGGGGAACGAGCAAAACAGCTCCTGCAGCCGTCCTTATCCTCCATGTATGTATGCTAGCTATGGGCCTCCCTTGCAATAAATTTAAAAAGTGCATTTTAAAGGCCGCTGGTCCCCTAGAACTGAAATTTCAGATAGTCTTGAGCTGCAAAGAGGGCACTTGGAACTGAAACTTGGTTCTTTGCAAGAGCAGTCAGTGCTCTTAACCACGGACTCACTCCCCCAATTCCTGCCTGAGATTCCAGAAGTGTTTAAGTCAAAGTCTTTGGCTCTGCTCTGGGGAGAGGTCAAGGATGCTAGAAAGGAGGTCTGGGTTTGCGTCTTCTACATGATCACTCTTACCAGGGGGCGACCTGCCAGAGTAGGCAGAGAAATGCAGTCTAGACACTAATGGCTTTTGGTGAACCGCATTAGAACTGGACTCTGGCTCTGGGTGGAGGTACTACATTCTGATCCGCTCCCCGGATTAAAACATTACTTTCCGCTGTTTTCCCCCATAGCCATGAAGCCAAACTAAGAGTTAATCAAGCTGGGTCTCTCAGTCATGGGTAAAGAGACCTCCCTTCAGGACGGCTGGTTCATGTAAAGCCAGGCCAACAAGATGGGAGGAATAATTATCCCTTTAATGAGAAAATGAACCAATTCTTCCCGGTAACCCCTTTTTCAGCGATGTTGCTGATGGACCCACTTGTATCTTTTATGCAAAGCTTGCCTGCTTTCCTGAGTTACTTAAAATATGGACTGTTTCTTTTTAAATTTTCTTCTCTTTCCAAAGCCTAGGTCTGCTTGCACAGGTACTCACTCTTCTCTGGGGCTCCTCCCATTCCACCACGTGGCTGATTTTAAGGAACACAGCTTTCCCTCTCTTCTCCTGCTTCCTGGCAGCTGACAATACTTAAAGTTTACCTACTCTGCTGTTCCTCTTTTAAAGCCCAAGGAAATTATCACTGAGCTTCCGTTAGATCCCCTTTTCTAATTATCAATGAGAAGAAGAATCCAAACAGGGAATCCCAACTTCCCCTGTAAACTGCTACTTTTAAAACCAAAGTCCAGAAAGAAACCCACTATGAAACCAAACATTGCCAAGGCGGGTCACACAGCATCCCTGCACTGGCGCGGGTTGGAGAGACAGAGCAGTTTGCACTATTTGCAATGGGTAGGAACTGAAGTAGATTTCCTTTAACAAGCAGTAAGGAACACAGGACCCAACATAAAGAAGAGACCTCCATAGTGCCTGAACCTCCTAAAGAGCTTAGAAAGCAGAATGCATGTCCTTTAGCACTGGGGAGGGAACACTAACCTAATAAAATTTTTATGTGCTTTATTAACTGGGGACCAGCATCAGCTGGATACCAGGCTATCCTGGAACATGGAGCCGAGACTCAGTGGCCACCACTCTTCTGTACTGTTCTTTCTGGTAGATTGTTTATTAGACATATACACAGGCAATTGATTCTGAACTTTGAGAAGACCCAGGATATCTGTTGGTTTAGCCTAGTTATCACTCAGTAATAAAAACCACCCTAAATCTAAGAGACTTAAAGTAAGATACTTCTCCTGAAGTTGCTCAGGGACACAGTCTTATCCAACAGCCATGGCAACAAAGACTAGACCCTTGAAATTTCCATCCCAAATGATTTTAGTCTATCAGCAAAGCTAGTCATGCCTTCACACTTGGTCACCAGGACTGTCAGGATCCCATAAATCAGAGACCCACATGCTCTGGGAATCAATTTGGCTGTACAAGGCTCTAACCAATCAGGGAGATTTAGGATTAAATGCAGTACTAAGTGTAGCATTAAAAGAAGCATCTATAGAGTCATATGTTTTGTTGCTTACCTTGGTAACTGAGTTTAAATCCTTGCCGGTTCTGTGAGTGGTCACTATAGAAACGGATGAGGGTTTCATGTGTGGTGCTCAGCAGCGATGCAGGCAGGTCAGGGCCACTGAACTGGCCCATCATTGGACTGCTGGGGTAGGGGCCATTCTGGATCTCCAGGTAGTCATGGTTGGCTTCAGTTGAGAAATTCAGAAACTGGATGTGTGCACCTACGAGAGAACATGAAATCTTCAGAAAGTCCATGATAACGTATCCAAGATCATGGCTGATTAAGGGGATGATCACTTCATTTCTATAAAAAAGAAGAGGCATGGTGGGAAGAAACACTGTATCTTTGAAGACATCCCTTGGCTTAGCCTAACTCTGTGTGATCTTTGTCTCCAGAATTCATATCCACATGTCAGATTCTGTGAAGTATGAGTACTGCCAGCACCATATCCCAGAGAGGCACAGACATCATTCTTAGAATGGAACTTGAAGGACTTGTCATTGCAGCAATGATTATAACCCAAACACAGGCTGGAATCATACACGACATCATTTACATGTTAATCATGATTTTATCAAAGAAGTCAACACTAAATTAAAAGCACAAAACAAACTTTAAAACATATTCTAGGGTCTTCAAGATGAACCATTGGTTAATAGTACTTGTTTCTAAGCCTGATGACATATATTCAATTTCTGAGATCTACATGGAAGGAAAGAACCAACTCCTATAAACTGTCCTCTGACCTCCACACATATGGAATGGCATGTGAGCACACATGTGTACATAATGAATGTACTGAGTTTTTGGAGGTTCATTCTTATAACTTGGTTATTACACTATTGCATAAAAGATTTTGTAGATAAGCAGGGATTATGTTTAACATACAAAGCAAGTTACAGAGGCTCCCAAGAAACAAAGTCTGATAATGGTCAATGTGAATCTCAAGATCAAGGTCAAGTTCAAAGTACAACAGATTGGCTCAGCTCAGTATATCAGGATATTGTCCTCATTGATTTTTATGGATAAGTTATGACCAATAATGTAGAAGAAAGCCCTAATCAAGACAGTTTAGAGTCTTTTTCTGTGGTACATGGCCTTTGGATGTTTGAATGCTGGCTCTAAACTGGTTTAATGTGTTTGACTATTTAAAACAGAACCCAAAATGACATTAGTGTTTGAATAAATCCATGATTAAATTTGGCAATGGAATCTATGCTGTTGATATTAATAATACAATAACAATTACTTTCTCATCGTTTTGTTCCCATTCCCCTTATGCAGTTCTAGAGAGCAGACTCAGGGTCTCCTACATGCTAGACCAGTGTCTTTCACTGCGTTACAACCTATTCTCTCTTTATTTTGATGGTAAGGAGTGAATTTTTATTGAGTACATTATGTCCTATGTTAAAAAATTAAATCCAGTGCTTACACGAGCTATCCTAACTCAGAGTAGATAGAAGGAAAATGGCACACATACAAGGAAGGAGATAATAAAAAGTTAGGTGAGTGAACAACTACAAAGAAGAGCTCAGGAAGGAGCTGTGGGAAAAAAGAACTAAATGGTTCTATAAATTTAAAGTCTTACAAGGAAAATTGGCAGGAGGGACACACATCAAACTATTGTCCTTCTGATTAGCTTAGCATAAGGCCAACTACCCTGTGAGAATCCCATTTGCCAACTTCCCTCTTAAAACCACTAAGTGGGGTGACACTTACTGCCATTATAATTTAACAGGTGAACCGCAGAGGCTCCACAGTGTCAGATGCTATGACCACTGTGACACCAGGAAGGTAACAGTGAGGTTTGCATTCAGCTTAGACTGGTGCAGTCTTTGCTTTCTGTGGTGCGACATAAGCTAGACCACAGCTCATCACCTCATGAGTCAAGGGCATCTGCTACTTCTTGAAGGAAGTGAGTTTCTATTAAATTTGTTCAAACTGGTTCAAAGGAGGAAGAATGAGAGAAAGTAGCAGACATGAAACTTTTTTAGGGGCTAGAGGGACAAAAGTTAGAAGAGAAAGAAGTATCTTCAACTAGTAAGCCAAAATTTGAAAATTTCCAAGTAAGTGTTGGCTTCATTTTACATCATGTTGGCAGACACACAACTCTCTCACTAGGAGGCAGGTAAGGAATGCCCAGTCTGTTGTTCTGGGATACAACAATTCACAAGAAATTCAAAGGCGACAGCCACACCAAGCGCCAACCACATGGAAGACGGCCAAAGTCTAAACAGTAGAGGGTAGAGAAAGGGAGGTTTTCTTACTGCCATGGAATTAAACTTGAAAAGGAAGTAGAATCACGACAATTACGATATTGTGAGCAAAATTACCATTTTAAGAGGGATAAAGTATCCAGACACATATCATACCACCTAATACCTATCAGCAAAGGAAACAGAGCTTGGCTCTAATCTGGCTTAAAGTAGGATCACATTGCTATCTAATTTCTAACAAACCTCTTCCAGTTTGACATTACAGAGTCCAAGTGAAGGGATTAGAACAAACACAGCCTAGATATCCTTTTATTATCTCCCAGAATATTCTAAAACTCTATGAATATAACAAGAAAGGCAATCGAAGACCAGCCCTGCTGAAATTTACACAGCACACTTTCATCTGGCTGCAGTGATGCTTTGAAGATCAAGTGCCAATGTGGAGTCCACTGCATTAAGGATTTGCCTTCCAACCCTGACCAAACTTTAATGTGGTCCTGACTTTGGAGCAAAGCCCTCATTTTCAGCTGATGGAATTTATAAGTATTAACTTATCTGCTATGTGGATAGCAAACCATCTAAAAGACCATTTATACTTGCCTCATGGTAACAGATGGTCCAAGCATTTTGTAATTTAGGATATTATTTTGTGAAATTATCACAAAGTGATTTATAAAGAAAATAATCATGATAAAAAAGAAAAAACAAAAAAACCCAATAGAATAGCTAGATGACATTTCTCTTTTTATTAATTAATTTATATTTAAAATGATCTTTTCTCATTTTACATATCTATCCTAGTCCTACTCCCTTCTCTCCTCCCTCCCACTCCCCCCACCTTCCTCCACCCCACCCCCATCCACTCCTCAGAGAGGGTAAGGCTTCCCATGGGGGATCAACAAAGTCTGATGTATCACTTTGAGGCAGGACCAAAGCCCTCCCATCTATATTTAGACTGAGCAAGGTATCCCTCCAAAAAGAATGGGCTCCAAAAATCCATTTCAAGCAGTAGGAATAAATCCTGGTCCCACTGCCAGTGGTCACAAAGACCGCCCCAACCACACATCTGTCACCTACATTCAGAGGGCTTAGTTTGGTCCTATGCAGGCTTCCCAAGAGAAATAGGCAAGAGTTCCTGAGAAAATTGGGGGCATGGGGGTGGGGAGAAGGGAGGGCAGAAAAGGAGGGGGAGGAGAGAAGAGGGGGGATGAGAACATGAGGGAATGAGATGTTCCAGATGGGGAAAGGACAGAGAGGGAGAGCAAGGGAAGAGATATCTTGACTGTGGGAGCCATTGTGGGGATAGTGTGAAATCTGGCACCAGAGAAATTCCCAGGAATCAACAAGGATGACCCCAGCTAAGGTACTAAGTAATAGTGAGAAGGTGCCAGAATTGGCCTTCCCCTGTAATCAGATGGATGACTACCTTAAATGTCATCATAGAACCTTCATCCAGCAACTGATGAAAGTAGATGCAGAGATCCACAGCTAAGCACTGGGCCGAGCTTCCAGAGACCAGTCCAAGAGAGAGAGAGAGAGGAGTGAGAATACCAGCAAAGGGGTCAATACCATGATGGGGATACCTACAGAGACAATTGACCTGAGCTAGTGAGAGCTCACTGACTCTGGATTGACATTTCTCTTAACTGCACCTTTCGATCTAGTCAAGAAGACAGACCCAGAGATTCTAAGCAGATTCCACTTTACCAAAGCAGAACACACAGAAGGCTGTATCAATGAAAAAGAAGGAAATAGCCCCCAAATATGAAGACGGTGGCTGCTGACACAGAGGTCACTTAAATGGTCCTTGATGCCCAGTCTAGGCCAGGTATAAGAGGTAGAAAAGTAAAGTCACCATTATATAACACTAAACTTTGAGTTTCTTACAGGTTTGTAAAAACATCTTGAAGAACATGAAGACACTGTGAAAAGGTACTCCAAGAAACCATGATTGTTGGATGAAAATCCTAGTGTTAGCATTGGGCTACAAACTTGTATGTTTTTGACCAAGGAGACCCATGAGGCCTCATAAGTCATAAAGCTATTCCCACTGCTGCTGCATGCCAGAACTAGATGGGAAATTGGTGTTGCTGAAGACCCTTGCATGGCTTAGCTTCAGGACATAGGGACATCAGACTGTGAATGAACTGGAAACTCTCTCTCCTCGTTGGCTGGCTTTCACAGTGCTGCAAATGCCACGTGAGATGCTGGGGGAGAATTGTCACTGTCCTGCTTGGTTATGGGACTGCAAGCTACAGCAGCAACATACCAGCCAAGGTATGCCCGCTGGTACGCTCATGGCACAGCATCCATGGATATCAGCTGCTTTCTAACTGAACTGAAGGCCTGTCCCACAGGAGGACATTTAGATCTGGAACTGGAAGTCAGGCCTGGGAGGTCACAGGCTTCAGTGCAGAAGCAATTGCTATTGCTCATGAAATGGATGTGATTAGTCAATTGAGTTGCCTTCTAATCATTCATGTCTGCACACAAGTTTACTATTGCTGTCAGCTTCAATTATTTAGGTAAGGGATCTCCTGTATATAATGAGAGGTATGCTAGACACACCTGGTCACAATCTTGCTATATATAGCAGCCTAACAGGCATTTACACCATCCAATCCTCCTATCCAAGTCTCAGACAAAGATGCCCAGAAAGGAACAAAAAGATACAAGACTTAGAAAAAGGGTGGGGGGGGGTTAGGGGTTAGGGGTTAGGGTTTAGGGTTTAGGGTTTAGGGTTAGGGTTAGGGTTAGGGTTAGGGTTAGGGTTAGGGTTAGGAAAAAAAAAGAAAAAGGGTGGGGTGTTGTTCTCTAAATCAAAATATGCCTTGCTGGAGGGAGGTACAAGTCTGTTTAAGGCTCTTGAAGAAAATGAAATTTACAAGGCTCCCAAAGGAAATAAAACTCAGAAGTCTCAGGAAGTTCCTGAAATTACAAGATTCATATAGACCCTCCACAAGATTCTATACATAAGCAGTAACTGCTATGGACAGGAGGCCTCCAAGTGACGAAACTGTAAGTTGTTCAGGAGCTGCTGTCCACGCTGTGATGGAACTTTTGGTGAACTAGCCTGCTTGAGACATCTGGAAGTAACTCCCATAAGCCCATAAGTGACCCACAACTCCCTGATTCACAGTTAGAACTAGGTGGAACTGTTTCTTCGATCTATCATCAGTGCCCTATCTATAGAGTGATATCTCCCAGGGAAAAATCACTCAACTCTTTGCCATGGGCTTTATTTTCCTCCCTGTCTTCTGCCATATGACTTTTTTATGGCTCCTAAAAAGTCCTGGCTCAAGACTCCATAGACTGGCTCTCTTGGGCTGGTTTGATAAGCCCCGCCCCCCATTTCCGTGTCCAGCTAATCAAATGTTAGCTGACAACATCTGTTACCATACCTGGCCAAGCCAGGCAGGGTCTTTGTTCCTCCGCAGGACCCCAGTTATCGGCAAGTTGGCTAGTTATGTCCTCTCTACAGTTTTCTCTGTATATACAGTTGTCATGAGCATAGCTCTTCAAGGAAATGCTTTGAAAACTTCATGATCATCTAGAACAATCATTTTTCTATAACTTCTGGTCATTCCTCTCCTTGATTGTCTAAGACCATGATTTATATAAAACTTCTGGTCATTCTTCACTATATACTAAGTGTTTGGTATCTAGATGCCAAGTGACTAGTACCTGGGATATCCCCTGAGTCCCTCTGTGGTACACACTTGGCTTTCAAAAACAAGAGAGGAGCTGGTAGCCCAGATAAAGTAGCTACAGTGAGAACAAAGGCACAAGATCCATAAAGACTGACTAGTAAGAAAATGAGAGACTTTCACAAAGATCACGTGCTTCTGAAGTCAGGGCAAAAGAAGAGCTTAGTGTTCTTAACAAAATTACATTTTTTCTAAAGCAGATAACCTGAAAATTAATAGCTAAATATATGTTAAAATTTCACAAACCAATACTCAAAATATGCAATATATTTATAATATATGACTGTAGTACAATCATAATATGTAACCAAAAAGTTAAAAAGATGCTGGACTTCCAAGTTTATGTGTTATATTTCATTTAGTATGAGTCATAATAAGAAACCCCTAAAAATTTCCAGAGAGTCACCACACCTGAATACCAGAACTGGACAGGAACAGGCAGAGATGTGAAGGAAGAGACTGCTGACTTAGATCTGCCATGACAGGCATCGTTGGGCTAATTAAATTTGCCTCGATGAGACCCACATGGCCGAATGGATGTTTGAGAATAACCTCATGCTCTCAATGTTACTGTGTCAAGGCTCTACTTAAATCTGTTATCTCCTGTCAATTAAAGACATGGTTTAGTCAATGGATCATTACACATCAGTCCCTTGGGGAGACTCTGCCAGGTGGAACGATTCCTGGCTCACTCACCATAGCCAATGGGCAGCGATATTTTCCAGGTGCAGTCCAAGTTGTTGGGGTACGAGCCTGGGAACCCTGGGCTCAGGATCACTCCACTCATGCTGGTCAGTGTCCCTCCACAGGTGGCTGTCAAACAGAAGATAACAGGAGTCTCCTGGCGTTTTGTGTTCAGCAAGGATACCCAAATCTAACACAGCTTATTGGACCACACCGGGAAAGAGAAAGCCCACAGGGTGCTGTCTAGGTTACTCAGGGCCCATCCCTCCTCTGTGTGGGATACTTGGGGATACAGATTCTTCTCCACGTGCCTTCTGGCACTGCAGGCTCTTAGCAAAGGTCAGCTGGCTCAACAGTGCATTGCAAACAGGCGTCAGGTTGACTTTTCAGCTCTTGCTTGTGGTAGCATCACTATCTAGCACTGATTGTTCACTTGGGCTCCTACTGTGTGGAAACAAATGAGCAACATTCCTGAAGCCTCCTGGCACTCATAAAGACTGGTATTCACATGACCACCCCCCATGACAGATGGAACCTGTCAATAGAATGAGAAATTGGCTTGAAGGTTTACAACCAGGAAAACCTCCCTCTTCTCCAGGATGCTCCAGATCTGCCTGGTCCTAGGGTCCCAGTGTCCTCAGTAGCCCCGACCTCCGAGTCCCTTGCATTGGAGAATGTAGCTCCCCGCAACCACTCAATCTCAGACAGTTCCATGTTGCAAAGACAGAAAGTCCCTGTGTTTTAATTATGCGCATGCCGTGCTACCGCATCTGATGTCTGCCAGCAAAGAGCCACGGCTGATTTTATAACAATATGAACATCTGTTTACATTAGCCACAAGGCTGGTTCACCAGGAGCCCTAGGGGTTGACCATTTGTGACAGGCTAAAAAGACAATTTCATGTCTTTTCGACTAATGAGGCAAATGGTGTAACTTCTTTTCTAGAGGACAAGGTACAAAAAAACCTTCTCTTATTATAAGCACTCAGTTCCTGTTTTCAGAAGCCTCTGCCAGAAAGCCCCAAGCATGCACTGTAGGATCTTTTAATTTTCAAACTATTTTCAATCATCAAGGTTAGATAACCAACAAGGGCACATTTCCTGGGAGGAAATATGTGAAAGCCAGCCCCGGTGACTGTGGTTAGTTGCTCAAGACAGCCATTGTGTGACCTGGGTTTAAACATTCTGCATATTCAAGAAATAACCTTAAGAACTTAAAGATTCTTAAGGCTCTTCTGTGATGAGTTATGATTCTAGACACCAGCTCAGATGAAATCGGCATGTCTGTAACTTAGAGAGCAGCCCAGCAGGGAGCTGTCCGCAGGCGAGAATCGTGTGTGAAGTGCAGGCTGCTTGGGTGTGCTGTCTGGGCCTGCACTGGGCTGAAGACATGCCAGTATGGGGGCTACACCAAAGCACCTCTCCACATAGGATCCTTTAGCTGAAAGGAGGGTGGAGATGGTGTCCACCCACAAGGTAGACAAATGAAAAATGGCCACAAAGACAGAAAGATGAGTGTCCAATGACAGCGACAGTTCTGGGAAGGAATTTTCAATTTAGAGTATAACTAAAAAAAAAAAAAATCCAGTGTCATAAAATATGGACATCTATTAATGGAACCTCCATCCTTCAGAGGAGGGATTGGCATAGTCATCCTGAGCAGGAGTTGGCACCAAGCTGGAGTGACAGGCGCCATCCTCAGTGATATACAACACAGAGCAGGGACAGGGTGCTGGATCCCATGTGTGTCTAGGTACTAGGCACAGGATGACTTCTGGGTGATGTGAGAGCTACCAGTACAGGTCGGCCTCATACATATAAAAAGAAGGAGCAGATGAGCTTCAAACCAGAACTCCCGAAAGGTGTGAGCCCATCTACCTTGCTTTGAGATATCAAGAGAGCCCCATTGCCAGCATGCTGTGTTTTATTTATTTATTTATTTATTTATTTATTTATTTATTTATTTATTTTATTAAAGATTTCTGTCTCCTCCCTGCCACCGCCTCCCATTTCCCTTTCCCTCCCCATGCTGTGTTTTAAAAAATGTTTATACCTATGGGTATTTTGTCAGTATTTACATCTATGTAACATGTATGTAGCAGAGGCCAGAGGGTGCTAGAACTTTTGAACTACAGCTGGAGTTGTAGCCACTGTATTGGTGCTCAGAATTGAACCGGGGTCTTCTGGATGACAACCAGGGAGTGCTCTTAATCACTGAGCCATCTCTCCAGCCCCAGGCTTGCTATGTTCCATCGTGGCCAGATAGAAGCTGCTACTTAGCATTTCTTTGACTCCCTTTGCCCCGACCCTCTCCTGCTTATAACTCACTCATGCCAACTCCTGCTCAGTCAGCAGCCTGTGTGGAGCCTTACCAGCCAACGCTGATTTCCAAAGGGCAGGTGACCCTTGCTATGGAATATCAGGGACTTTGCACTTTCCTGGATTTATATATTTTATTTTGTGCAGGTTTTTCACGTTCTGGAACCAACAGATGCATTTTTTTATTCCACGACACAGGTCACAGACTGTTGTGAACCCCACAGTTCCAGAAGTTTCCAGTCCCATCTGCCCCAGTATGAACTCTAACTCTGCTGGGGCCCCTGGCAAACTGCCTGGTCCCTCTATGGCTTGATGAGATATTAAAAACAGCCAGTATTAGTTAAGCTCTGAGAACAGAGCCCGGTCCTCAGTGGAAAAGTGGCTTATGTACCTTGACTCTATTAGTTCTGTGATTATAAGGAATTAGGACATGAGGCTTCTAGGAAGCCGCTGAGCAAAATATGATCTCTCTACAGACTGCTCCTGCTCCTAATTCCGTCAGCTCAGATAAACCTGGAGCTGCCAGCTACAAAATGCTTTGATTTTTTCCGTCCATCTCCAAGGCTCATCGCAGTCAGGTGTGAGTTTTGACAATGGGGGAGCTCTCTGTGCACCTTGTCAAAAATTGTAGAAGTTGATGTAACATCAGTATTTGCTAATATAAAAAACTCATTAGAGGACATGTAAAAGTCAGATGTCTTGCTAATGTAAGTTAGTTATTCAAATTCAAATAAAACGCTTTTTTATAAAGCGCCGAGCAAACACAACGGCCCCCAGCTGAATATGCAGGCCGGGAGTCAATTCCACTCTTGAGTCGAAAGAACTGAAATTGCTACATGTGGGAAATGTGAGTTCACAATGCTAAAGGCTGACTGCAAACTCAAGAGCGCCTGATCCCCCTCCATACTATCTGACTGATGGATGGGAAAAAATATCAAAAGTCATGTTTAAAAACTGCATAATAAACAACTTAAGAGAATTTTATATAGTGACCAGCTCAGGGCTGCTGGATTTGCTGCTGACCACAGGCTCTGTTGTGCCAGCTGCCCAAAGACCTAGAGGAGGTGGGGCTCATTGGAACAGTGAGCACAGTCTCTGGGCTGAGGCCAGGAACCGAAGACAGACACTGGTGGTGTCTGCAGGGTGGTGACATCACCCCCAAACTCTGGGGAAGCTGATCCTATGGCTCTGGTCAGGGGCTGGATGCCCTGTGACTTGCACTGGGATGCTTTGGGCCTCGGGCATAGGTTCTTCCCACTCAATAGGCAGGGGGCTGTCCAGTGCTGATAAGGGCATCTCCACACAGACGTCACTGGGCTTTTCAATGTGGAATACAAACATGCCAGCTTCTAGAGAGTCAGTGGCTTGTTTGTAATTCTGAGCTTTGCTTCCGCAAACATGCTTTTCCGGAGGCTAGCAGCATGTTCAGAAAAACCCATTCAGCCTGTCAGAGTTGTTACCAGCTTCCTTCATAGAGTAATAAATGGGGATTTTGGCATGGATTTGAACTGTTTGGTACCTTGAGCTGGGAGACTCAGAGCTTCCCTATGTAGCCTGATCCAAAGTCCCACAAAAGCTGAATTTCTAATTCCACGGGGAGGTGCTCACTGCATTCCTGTGACTCTACCCATGTGACTGTGCTCTCTATAATAGTGTGTGCTTTGAAAGGGACAGTGTGTGCTTCCAGAGGGCGGGATATGGAAGGTCACAGGTGGAAGCAAGCTGGCCGAATGAGGGTCACTCAGTGAGGCTATGCAGGATGTACTTACCAATACACAAGGGGGAAGGATAATTCCAGCGACGTACAGTCCCTGGCATGCAGGAAATGTGTGAGCGGCCCTGTTGGGAAGAAAGCCACAAAACTTGTTTGTTAACTGCAGCACGGTATTTATGGATGAACCGCAAGGGGACTTTTCTCCAGACATTGAAAAACCGTGAATCTGACCATTGTTCATGAGTCCCATTTGGAAAGATCAATCAATCAATCAACACAGATGTGATCCTTTTCACTAACACAATCTTGACTGTCTAAAAAGGCGACATTTCTGTTGACTTTTCATCATGCCTAAGGAGAACAAACGGAACTGGGCAAAGGATGCCTTAATTCCCCAGCAAGAACACCATCACAGCATTTTGCTTGAGGGGCAGGAGGGACTGGTGACAACCAGTATGGGGTGACAGGGTGGTGTGCTAGAATTTGCTGACGGCACATTTTGGGGTAACTTTCCAGACTTTGCACAAGTCACACATGTTCGCTGTCTGTCTAACCCCGCCTGGTCTACTGGGAAGCAGCTCATGGCTGCCACCTTTCTGTAGTGAAATGAATCCTCACCTTCCTCTTTCAATTTGAACTTCCTCTCCTAAACACCAACCAGCAGTGGAGAGATTGGTGAGGATACCGGGGCTGAACTCTTTCTAAACAGAAGGCTCCAGACCAGTGGCTCTCAATCTTGCTAACGCTGAGACCCTTTAATACAGTTCCTCACGGTGTGGCGACTCTGAACCATAAAATTATCTCTGTTGCTACTTCATAACTGCAACTTCTACTCTTATGTACCAGAATGGCCGTAGGTGACCCCTGTGAAAAGGTTGTTTGACCCCAAAGGAGTCGAGACCCACAGGTTGAGAACTGCTGCCCTAGCTAGCCCCTTCAGCGGTGTTCTGTTTTTACTCTTCTTTCGTGTGACTTGGTGACCATCTCTGTCATGTCTCCTCGTCTCAGACATTTCATCTGCCACCTACAAGTGGCACCGAGGTGATGGAGGCCAAACTGCACTCACTGAGGACCCAAGAGGCACACATTTGCATTTAGGGTCAACAAAGATAGGTGGCTGACTCCCAAAGCTAATTATTTTGCTACAAAACTGATTTCACTGTAGCTGGCCTGGAACTGTGTAGTTCACTGGCCTCAACCGTGTGGTGATATCCCTGCCTCTGCCACTCAAGACCTGGGATTACAGGCATGAGCCACTGTGCCTGTCGAAAAGACGGTGGGGACTTCAGACACTGCTGGTGGCAATGTAAACTAGTATAGGCACTGTGGAAATAAGTATGGAAGTTCCCCCAAAACTAAAAAGCCATGTCATCTAGCTATACTACACAATGGTGTATACCTCAAGGAGTCTAAGTTAGTGTTCACAGAGAAAACTACACATTTATGTTTATTGCTATATTACTCTCAGTAGTCAGGATATGGATCTAGTCCTGATATGCCCATTAACAGATGGATGGATAAAGAAATTCTGTTTATTATATACAAAAGAATTATATTCAGATATAAAGTAGGAAATTGTTGTGGAATATTATTTTAACTAGGCAACGATGTGTTACATTTGTTTATGCTGCAGAATATTACTTTAACTACGTAAAGGTGTGTTACACTTGTTTATGCTGCAGAATATTTAACTATGAAAAAAAACTGATTTCAATTTTCCTTCTTCCTGGCATTTTAAAAATAGTTCTAAAGGAAGAATGTGTTTGTTTCTTAGCTTTGTTTGTCAAGTGTGTGCCCAGCCATTGTCTTTAACACAAGGTTTGGTTTTGAGTCAAGGTTTGTTTCGTTACCCCCTGGTCTCACAGTTCCTCTGCCTTGGTCCCCCAAAGTGTTAGGACTAAAAGCATGCACCGGCACACCCAGCTGAAAGTCCATGTTTTTCAATAGGACAGTCTGATGCCAAAGTGAACGTGTTTATATATCCTGTGACCCATTAAATTACATTTAATAAATTCCTTCCTGAATTATGGTTAAGCATAAAGTGCAAAAGCCTTTAAAGATATTTATGAAGACTGCCAGTAAAACGGTCATTTATTTCAAATCTAGAGCAGATTCTGGTATGGACAGGACCATAAACATCTTGGATGAGTGATTTCAAACAAAATTTGTGTAATAGATCAAATACAAAATCGGATCCTGGAGAGTTTTATCATCAAGACTTTACCTAAAGAGTAATATTTGGATTTTTATGTTTTAAGAGGACATGAAAACACAGTTGCATTGGATAGGTATCAGAGGTCACTCGGATATTCGGGTTTTATTGGCAGCACCTCTGCAAATATCTACCGGTCTCACTGTGTGTCTGGCATAGATGTCTCTGCGAGAACTGCCTTAGGAGCAGTGCTCTGCCCGACAGCATGTGGTCGATGTGTGTGAAGTAAGTACTGCGCTAGCCAAGGTGTGTTAGCAATAAACGCAGCTCAGCATCCACTTCTGTTCTTGTGACTATTAATGAATATCTACAAGATGTTAGCAAATATCTCCGCCCCCGAACTCTGGACTCAGTGCTATTCCCAATAAAGACAATGGCTTGGCTTCGATGTGATGAACAAGGCTAAGAAGCAATCTGATGTGTGTTCACAGGCTCGCTTGTCTAGGAAGATTATCAATCCTCTGTTACAGAAAATCCCTGTTTGAAAGAGGATTTGCTCTCTAAGGTCTTAAGCTATCACTTTAAAGAGGAAGCTGACAGAGGCTGCAAGACCACATCTTCGACACAAAAGAGCATGGACATCAGAGAAGGACACAGCTCTGAATGCTGATCTCATGGGAGGAAAGTAGACTGCATTTATGTAGCTCTAGTCAGTTATAACAAAAGTCAAGGGGAAAAAAGACCACACGAAAAGCATGTGGAAGTAGACCAAGGTGCCTCTGCATGCGAAAGTCATGACACAGGACCCAGAATTCTTTCAATTGTAACAAGCGCAAGTATGTGTGTGTGTGTGTGTGTGTGTGTGTGTGTATAAAATGCTTGTCTGGAAGAACCACCCTGATTAGTCTCCCCATCCCTGCTTAACTGCCTGCTTCAGTCACAGAGCTACAGAATTCTGGGGGGACAGCTCAATTTCTACAACCCACTGTATGCAGAGTCCACATGATTCATGCTGCACCAGGCAAGATCCAAAGACTGTGAGCTATAGTCTGGCTTTCCTGAAAGTGACTGAATGCCATTTGCTTATATAACAACATTTCCTCATACTGCCAACAGCTACATATTCCGTGTCCTGAAACAAGCTGAGGATTCAATAGATCTTTCTTTTCCTTCAATCATAGAGCTCATGACCCATGCCACGTGGTTTTTGGGGACTGATGGGTGGTCTTAATCCTGAACTAGCCTTTTCTAGGTGCTGTCCACTGGTACTTGGTATAACTGTTCACCAAAAAATATGCAGAGAGATTAATTGTATACAGTGACACTGTTTTGTTGCATATTATCCAACCTTTTCCTTGATTCTTAATCTGTTTAATGAAGTTGGGCACAGAGCTTATTTAAGATATGTCTTTAAGAAGACATCAAATTCAATGGCATGATAAACATGTGAGAATTTACTTTGTGATAGGAATTGTATGACGAGTACAAACATGAGTGGTTATGACCCTATTGTCTATTTCATGACAATAGAAAAAACATTCATCTACCTGTTTGCCCATTTATAATGTGTCTATGGAAATGCTTACATGATTTTGTGTTTTAAAAAGAGCTGTAAAAATTTACAGCAGAACTTGTCTATAGAATTTCTTGAAAAATCACAGAATGGTTCTTTGTTGGGGAATACCCAAGGTATCTGGTGGTAAAATACTGAATGGAATCATGGGAACCGTAAATGTGCTGATGCTCAAGGCCCAGCGGCACATCCCATAACTGGGAGCCCCGCGGGGGTTTACAGATCCTCTGATACTGTTTGGTTCCTTAGTTTTTCTCTGCATGATTATGGGAAGAACACACAATTTTGAAATAAAATAATTGTGAGAAATCCAGTGGTGAGGTCTGCGGAGGGGTTTCAGCGTTTACAGCGTGACTCTGACGATGGTGGATTTGTCATCTGCATTGGTAGCTCAGTCACAGAGCAAGGGGAACACACTGGCTGCACGGACATGACCTGGAGCATGCCCATGGGGTAGGAACACCACAGGTGAGCCTGCTGAGCCTCCCTCATGGCCCCAGGGGTGCCTACCTGCAAGGTGTACCCGGGCTCGCACTGGAAGGAGAGCACATCGTTCACCATGTACCGGTCTCCTATCTTGATGCCATTGCTCGGGAGAACAGGCTCCTGGCATGCAGCCAGACCCACAGCTAGAAGGACACAAAGACAGATGCTGGGGATCAGGGAATGTCAACAACACTTCTAGCATCCCTAGTGGGAGCTTTGCTTCTCATCGCTTCCTGTAGAGACAAGCAAAGGTTTACACGCTCCTAGCTGTTTGATCAAAGGGAATTAAATCTAAGTTGCAAGATAAGCTTTAATAGTACCTTGATTCATTTCCATCATGGAAGAGATTCGGGTTTTTCTTAGATTAACAAAACTATCAGTTCCACATTTAACATCAAGCACCTCAATTTGAATACGAACGCAACCAAGACCGTTTCCTGCTGCAGAAAAAGCCTGGAGTGATGCTCTCTTATCATCTCTCTGGCATTCTGGGGAAACTTTTCAAGTCTGGAAATCTGGGAATTCCTGCTCTCTAGGAAAAGACATACAAGCACACATTTGTTCTCCTCTTCCACTGCTCCTCACCCCCAGAACCAAGAAGCTCGTGGGTAGTCCAATCTTGGATGAATAGGACCAATATTTACAAACATAAAATGTTGTAACCTGGTCCTTCCCTTCATTTAAATTGCTCACAGATTTCAATAGAAATCTATCACATACTATTGGAATCCAAACCAAATATCAGAATAACTAACTCTGAGTATTACTTAACAGCCATATCATTCTGAAAAGTGAAAATATACAAGAATGGTATTTCATTGAATAAAACGTGCAGTTTTTTTTCACCAAAAAGATTCGAGTTTTATAAAATGGTTGCATTCTGACAGTAGAGTATGATCAACATAGATGATGGCATGTGTGTTAATTTAATTAGGACTCTGGCTTTCCAGCCCAGAGCTGTCTCCATAAATTCTGGCCTCCATCCTTCCAGGGCTCCATGAAAGCGGAGAAGGGCTTCTCTGGTGAGACTGGTGAGCCTTCCTGTCACTTGGACTTTTATTTGTGTTCTGGAACTTGACAGGAACACATCATGTCACACAGGAAGGAAATGTGGGTGGTAGGAGTGCCAGTTAATTCGGAGTCACACAGTCTTGTGTGACACGGTCCAGTAGGGCCATCCCACCCTTGAGCTCCCCTACACTATGGTGATGATGAGAGACCCACTGTCTCTCCCACCTGCAGAGCCACCCAGACTGGGCCAGCTGTGCTGCATCATCCCTTAGGACTTCACACACACAAATACACAAACAATAACAAGGCAATGATGGACGTGAAGGTCAACATCAGTGGCAACATGGATCTGCCTCCTCCCCGGGTTTGCTCATATGGGCATAGGGGCTGGTCCCCTACTCTAGACACAAAGCTCTTAGAAAGAGCATGTACTATTAAGGAAGTGTGTCTGTGCTCAGCATGGCCACCGAGACAGATGCTCCCCACTCTACTTCCCAGAAGAGCCTTCTAGCTGATACTACTCCAAAACCTTAAAGAAGTCTGTGGTTGATCTAGCCATACCAATAGATGGAGTAGCCTCTGTCCATGGCTTCCACAAGATGTCAGAATGCTTTTTCTACTTTGTGAATCTGAATTTGCAAGCCATGCATCCCAGACCACCCAGAGATCAGTGCCCTTCTCCTTATCCCAAGAGGAAGACAGAGTTGGCGCGTCATTTTTCCCAAGAGGGACTGCTACCTGAGCCCCAGCTATTGAGTCTGGGCTGGAACGTGGACTGGACAGGATACGCCACACCTCAGCGTGCAGCCATTCTGTATGAGACAGGCAGCTGTCGTGAGCTATGGCACAAATCTTTCCCGGGCTGAAATAGATTGTTCCCTAAATAGCTCTGTTTAAGCATAAAACACAATTTGCATTAAACTGCAATAGGTTGTATTTCTAACATGGGTTTTAAGCCACTTAAGGTTTGTCATTGAAGATGAAACTGCCAAACATAAAAAGACAATTGCATAGACTTTAAAACTTACACACTAAAGATTAGCCAGACCTCCTCCTCTCTCTCTCCCCCCCCCCTCTGTGTGTGTAGCTTCAGTTTTAAAATTTCACTCAAAAAGTTAATAAAATATTATAGAAAATATCTAATTAAAATTGGACTCCTACGAGGCATAATTTACGCTGATGTGACAACAACATCATTTTGGAATCATTCAGGTTTTCAAAAGACAGGGCCACGCGCAAAGTTTTCAATAACACAAAATGTTCAAAACGAAGAAGAAAAATTTGCTGAGATTAAATTGGTAAATATTTATTGAGATTAAAATGGCAAGGAGTCACATCAAACCTCAATAGCTGAATTGCTTCTCTTTCTGCAAGCTGTATGTGTTATTCCTATTTAATAATATTTTATTATATGCAGATTTATATGCAGTTATCGTGTATCAATTGGGTTTCATTTTCTCATTCCTTAAATTCTATACTGAAATCCAATTTACCATCTGAAGAAGGTAACATCGATATTTCTCATCATAGGAAATGTAGTGCGTGTCTTCTAATTAATCTCAAAGCACAAAGACATCATTTCAGCCAGGGAACCATATGGGGAAACTGAGAGTGGTCCACAAAGAGACCATGGTATTTGAAATGTAGATAGATGCACCACAGGCTTTTCCTCCCTCTCAGCACCTCCATTCGGCTGTCCATGTTACAAACTCGGAATGCAAACTCTCACAGGAGTGACAGAAATCCATACAGCTGTCTGAGTTACTCACTGAGACATATGTATGTTTATTTAGGAAGCTCCAAACACACTGAAGGACAACCTAAAGACTGGGTAAACAGGGCATGGTGTTGGAACATGCCTGGAAGGCCAGAACTCAAGGGGATGAGGCAGGGGTATGGAGTGCTTGAGGCCACTAGCTATCTAAGTGTATATTCTCTCAAAAATGGATAAATAAAATATTAATCTTTAAAAATTTGACAAATTTAAACAGAACAGATCGATAGGAGGATTCTCCACTAATGTTCCAGAGGCAGCAAGATCTAGGAAGAGAAGACTGGAAATCTATTTTCACGATTTTTGACAGAATTGCTGTCCCTATCTAATGATGGTGTGCTTAGAACTAACATCATGCATGATGGTGTGTAACACCCAGTGAGGGAATTCATTGGAAGGTGGTCCACGAACAGCTAGGTTCCTTGATCTTCTTGAAGACAAGGAGAGGCTTGTCCCCACAAATCTGAACAACTCGTGGCCATTTGTGTGGATGGGGGTGGCAAACACATTATGATGCTTTATAATTTATTGGCCATGAATATATTTTCTGTTCACTCTGATGTTAAAATGTGCTAATACATAAAGTTTCAGTTTGATTTAGAATGTAGGAAGGATGTTTCTAAACTCCCACGAATCTAGCCTGTAGAAGCCAAGACCATGAAACAAAGCCATTAAAAAGATAAGTATCCTAATTCAACCAAAAGTAGAGTTTAATGACTTGACCTACTGCTGATCATAAAATGTGAATGCTTCGCCCCAGAGGTGAGCAGATAGCCCATCAGGTCTCTGGAATACACTGTGGCTGCTCTTCAAAACCTACAGAAAAACCCAGAGTGAGTTCCCTTGACTCTCAGAAGTGAAGACTATGGACAACACATGACAGCCGCGTGTTTTAAAATCAAACACTTAGAATAGGATAACCAGAACCTCTGCAGAAGGTACAAACCCGATGACTCCAAAGGAGTTTTTCCTCAACAAAGCCTTTTCTCTCACTACCACTGGCTTGGCTTTTAGTCTTGGCAATTAATGAATTAACACGAGTGCACTGCTCTGACTGAAAAGCTTTAACCAACAATGGCCTTGATAACAAAAATGGCAGCTCTAAGTGGAGAGCCTCAGAGCTGGAGTGTTTGGCAGAGGGAAGTCAAAGTACAACCTTCTAGTTTTATTCTGTTGCTGTGATTAAAAACCCTCAGACCAAAAGCAACTTTGAGAGAAAGGGAACTATTTGACCTACAATTCAAGGTTAGTTTGTCACTGAGGGAAGTCAGGGTAAGAACAAAGCAGGAAACACAAGCAAAAACCACAGAGGAGTGTGGCTTGCAGGTTGCTACAGACTCACGTTTAGCTCGCTCTCTTATAGAGTCCAGGACCACCTGCCCAGGGAATGGTGTTCTCCACAGTGGGCTAGGCCATCCAACACCAATGAACAACTATGAAAATTCCCATGGACATGACATGCCCACAGGACAATCTGCTCTAGGTAATTCCTCAACAGACATTTTCCTCTCAGATGACCCTAGGCTGTGTCAAATTGAGGATTAAAGCTAACTAGGACATAAACACACTACGCATTATGCATACATGCACCATTTCAATACGTGGGGAGATCATCATTACACTATGCGGAACAAAAGGCTATCCTTTAATTTTAAATAGAAAAAAAAGGTACATTGTCAGTTATGCTCTATGATAAATGCGGACGGTCCCCGCTGACAGTGTTTCAACACAGGGACTTTTAACTTCATGAGGGGGCAACCAGCGTGCACTGAGTAGAAACCACACTGTGAACTTTGAATTTTGATCTTTTCCCAGGACTGGTGATACAGGGTAAGACAATTTCTGTGAAGCTGCACAGCTCCTAGTTTCCAGTAGGCCGGAAGGATGGACACCGGTACACAGGCAGGGGAATCTCCTAGTTTCCAGCAGATCAGAAGGATGGGCACTGGTACACAGGCAGGGGAATCACATGTTTAGATTGATGAAACTTTAGCTGACAAATGCTTGTGGCTATAACATTCTTGGAAAGGACAGAACATCTATAATTAAAGAGCATCTGTAATCTTCTTGTACAATACAAGTAGATGTGAACACTAATTTATTAGTTGATTATACTTTTTTTTGAGGCAGGTTCAATCATTGTCGATGAGTCTGGCCTGGCCTCTCAATCCTGTTTCAGCCTCCAAATGCTGGGATGTCAAGTACACATTACCACACCTGTTGAAAAATTCTTTTCATGGAATCTATGTCAGCATTTTAATAATGGAATAGATGTTCCATTGATAATTAATGATAGCTCCATCTTAATTAGGCTTTCTATTGTTGTGAAGAGACACCATAGCCATGGCAACTCTTATG